ACCATAAGCTTCTTGCTGGTAGAGACTTGCCATTTTGCTTTGTATCCACGGTACTTGGAAGCCCCTGACACATTGTAGGCACATCTTAAATGTGTGTTGGTTTAATCGAGGACACTCTGGGTGCTGATTCAACAGCTATTTTGAGCATCTTTTCTGTACCAGATGCTGTGGGTACAGCCGTGAATGCTATAGTCACAGCCTCTGCCTTCAAGCTTATATTCTAGTGGAGGAAGAGAAATAATAATCAAGAACAGGACTAAGTTGAAATATGATTTCAGACAGTTATAAGTGTTGTGATGAAATCAGTTGGTGGAAGATGCTTTAGACCATGTCAGAAAATTATCTGAAGAAGTGATTTTGGTTTGTTTTGTTTACTGATAAAAGGTGTGCCTCGTTGGTGACTGAAATTCTTCAAGAGCTGTTGCTCTTGTGAAGTCGTTTTCCAAAGTGGTGAACAACTCTTGGTACAATTTTCTCTTCATTTACCCAGTAGTTACATTCCAGGAAAACTCGGTGTATCTTAAAAACTGTGAATGTACATGTATAGGAATTAGGTTCTAGACCCGGAAAGTTCCAGACAGGGTTTTCACCTTTCTGAATTTCCAACAGGATGGTCCGAAGTTGTGAGGGACGCCAGGGCTATCCTTTGTTGTGTGGGGGTATCCTAGACATTACAGGATGGTTAATATTTCTGGCCTCTGCCCACTAAATTCTGGTCAAACCCTCCAATCATGGTGATAAGCAGTCCCTCCCCTCCCCCAACTTTGAAAACAATCTCTAAAGGGCAGTTTAGCTCCCTTTAAGAGTTATGATTCTGCAGGTCTCTAGTGACCTAATCTTCTCATCCAGCTGTTCTCGCCCTCTAGAGCCTTTGATCAGCTCACCTTGATTTCCTTCCCTCTGCTGGCTCCCATGACATTGCTGTGCTTGGACTTTCTTCCTCTCTTTTGCCTCACCCTTGCCCCATGTTCCGATCTGATTTCTCCTTCTCCACCTGCCCTTCCATGTAGATCTGACCTTGGTCCCTTCTTTTTCCCTCTCCAAGGTTTTTCTTTGATAAAACTTCAGCACCACTTCCAGGCCACTAGTTCCCAAGCTGCTCATTTCTACGCTATTTAAGCCTATTTTTTCCAGCTAAGTGAGTCCCTAGGTGAGCCCTAAGGCTCACCTTAGGGCTAAGTCCCTAAGTGAGCCCTAGGTTACATATGCCCCACATCCAATTGGCCAACTTTCTTTAAAGCCTGTTATTCCTTTGGCCATACCTTTCTGTGTTAATGGCAACATCACCCACTCACTCAGCCTAAACATGGCGGCCGTCTTGATCTCTCTCACTCCTCACATTCAGATGATTGCTGTGTTCTGTTAGTTCTAAGGAATATTGGAATCGAATATTCAGGAGCCAGTCATGTGAAGATGGGAGCAGCGTTGGTGATGAAGGTCAATGCCCTGGAAAGGGTCACTCTGATCTCACTCTTCTGCTCTTTTGTTTTATTTAAAAATTTCTTTGGACTAGCCTAATTTTTCTACACCCTGGGCATACTGCCCTGAGCTAATTTGTTTGCCCGAATTAATTACTAGCGGGGGTGGGGGCAGCCTCATTTTCACAGAAGCCTTCTCTTTTGGAAGGAATGCCTTTTTGTTCAAACAGTCCGATTTAGGTTTTTTGGCACCCAGTGTAAAGGGTGCCTTGACATTTCCATAAAGACATTGAAATGTTACCATCCCTGAAGAAACGGTTTCAGAATACGAAACCTTTATCTTTTTCTTTTTCCCTAAGGAAGAAGAACATCACCAGCCTAACTATCTCTGTAAAATAAAACTTCCTCATTTGCTTTTCATGTTACTAGTGGAAGAAGATAATGATGCAGTTTGTAAAATATGAAAACAATGATATGAAATTTGCTTTTGATTTTTGTCTGTGTAAATAACACTTCAATTATGAGGTCAAAGATGCTTGTTAGGGTTATCTATTATTCTTCCAAGTGATTTTTGAAAGATCTGTTAGGAGAGCAAATACACTTGAAAAGATGTTCCTTGTGATTGTTACTCCACACTGAGTCGCCAAAAAACAATTGACTCTTTTTGTAGGTTATATATTATTCATATAATTTTTTTTTAATTCTGAGAAAAATCACATAACATGAAATCTACCTTCTTAACAAAATGTTTAAGGGTCAGTACAGTGTTGCTAATGATACACACATTGTCATAGAGAAGATTTCTAGAACATTTTCATTTTGCATAACTGAAACCCTGTATCCATTGAACAGCAACTCCCCATCTTCCCCTTCCCCCAGCCAGTGGCGACCACCATTCTACTCTGTTCCTATGAGTTTCACTACTTCATGTAGCTCGTATAAGCAGAACCGTGAAATATTTGTCCTTCTGGGACTGGCTTATTTCACTTAGCTCATAGTCTCAAGGTTCATCCATGTTATAGCACATGACAAGATTTCCTTCTGTTTTTAAGGGCTGAATAATATTCCATCATATGTATAAACTGCATTTTCTTTATCCATTCATCTGTTGATCGACATCTTGGCTAATGGTGAATACGTTGCAATGAATACGGGTGTGAAAATATCTATTCGAGATCCTGTTTTCCATTATGTTGGATAAATCCCAGAAATTAGATTGTAATTCATATGGTAGATCTATGTTTAATTTTGGGGGGGGGGATTCTCTATATTTTTTTCCATAGCGGCTGCACCATTTCACATTCCCACCAGCAGTGCATAAGGATTCCAGTTTCTCCATACCTTCACCAAGACTTGTTATTTTTTCTCCCTCTGTGTGTGTGTGTGTGTGTGTGTGTGTGTGTTTATAATGGCCATTCTAACAGGTATGATGTGATATCTCCTTATGGTTTTGATTTTATTTCCTTGACCGGTGATCCTGAGAATCTTTTTGTATACCTGTTGGCCATTTGTATCTTCCACAAAAAAAAAAAAAAAAAAACAACCAGCTCAAAATGGATTCAAGACCTAAATGTAAGACGTGAAACTCTTAACACTCCCTGAAGAAAATATGGGGTAAAAACTTCTTAGCCTTGGTCTTGGCAATGATTTCTTAGATATGACACCAAAAGCAGAGGCAACAAAAGTAAAAGTAGGCAAATACGGCTATATCAAACTAAGAAACTTCATGGCAAAGGAAGCAATCAACTGAATAAAAGCCAACTATGGAACGGGAGGAAGTGTTGGCAGTGTGCATATTTGATAAGAAGTTAATATCCAAAACTCCTGTAAGAAGAAAGATTTTCTGTTGAATGTAGATCAGGAATCAGCAAACTTGTTCTATAAGACACCAGAGAGTAAGGATTTGGGGCTTTGCAAGCCATATGATCTCTGTTGCGACTACTCAGGCTGCCATTGTAGTGGGAATGCAGCCAGAGACGATACATAAATGGATGAGTGTGGCTGTGTCCCAACAAAACTTCATTTACAACACCAGACTGGGATGGATTTGGCCTGTGAGCCGGAGTTTGCTGGATCTAGAGCAGGGTTCTCTGTCTGGCTCTCTTAGCATTTTAGCTGGATAGCTTGTTGTGGAGGGCTGTCCTATGCCCCGTAGGATGTTGAACAGCACCCTGACACTGGGTACCAGGGGCAGCTCCTTCCCTACCACCCTGGTTGTAACAACCAAACGTGTCTCTAAAAGCATTGCCAAATGTATTCTGGGGGCAAAATTGCTGTCAGTTGAGAAACTCTGATCTGGATGATCAAAATACTGATGAAGAGTGTTGAGAAATATTGCCCTAAAATTACAAAAAGTAGGGTAGGACAGAACAATTGAAAACCATGGCATATTTGTCTCAGGTAGGTCGAGGTCTCCTCTGAGGGGCTGTTAGCACCACCTAATTTGGGAAAGCAGTTCAAAAACAATAGCAATTGAAAAGTGTTCTGTCGATAATGCAAATATGAGTTTAACCTACTTTTGCAACAGGGACTGAAAACAAAACAGTTCAACACATTAGCATGTCTTAATGAAACTTGCTGGGTTTGGAGGTTGGCTATGGGTTGGAAAGCTGGGGAGAAAAAAAAAAAACTACTCAAACTAGTAGTTCTAGTTCCCGTTTGAGCAAAGGTTTATTTTTTCTGCTTATCTGAATTCAGAACCAACACAGGCAGGGTGATTTTTGAAAGCACTCACGTGTTTCTCATTGTTTGGACAGGGCCAGAAAAAAAAAATGGCTCGGTTTCACTGCAAATTGGCACTGACGCATGTTTTTGAAAGTTAAAAACAGTATAACATTCATGAGTGAATCTCAGAGAATGTTGTCTTCTTGTCCTTTAGAATAAACACCTGTTTTGCAAATAGAGTAAAAGCCGTCTTTATTGAGAAACTGTCGGTTTCTTTTTCTCCATTGCTCTTCATCTGTTTTTAACCATTAGCATTTTAAAGTACAATTTAAAATGTTATCATTGAGATCATCATAATTTTAAATTAAAAAAAAATACCCCAGATTTTACCAGGAATTACAGCAAAGCCTTTTTTAGCTGAATCTCTTCTTGACCTGAAAAGCAAAGGAAATACATCAATCCTTTTCTCCTTTAATAAAATTCTCTGTGGTTACTGGATAACACTTTTCCAGTCAGAGGAAGGGTGGTCCCCATCCTTGAAAGGAGCTGATGCTCCATGCCGTGAGCCCTGCTGCTCTCATCCCCGTCTCCTGCGGCCACAGCAGATGCACTCAGTGACCCCGGCCTCCGGGTCACCAGTGCCGTTGGACGCGATGTCATCCCGAGACCATCTGGTGGATAAATCGGATCATTTCCTTTATACTTGGGATCATGAAAGAGGGTGATGAAAACAGACTCGTCATAGGAAACTCTTCCCGGGAACCCACGTTTCCATACACCCCAAGGGACTCAAATCCGTAAATCCCATCTGTCCATGCCATGCTTCTGATCAATACCCAGCCGCCTCTCTTGTAGGCTGGTCCAGTGTGGGGGTGATTGGGACACGTGTGACCGCAGGCCTTTTTCTCCGTCCCTCAGGTTACCACGGCCTCTACTGCGAGGAGGAATACAACGAATGCCTGTCTGCTCCGTGCTTGAACGCAGCCACCTGCAGGGACCTCGTTAATGGCTATGAGTGCGTGTGTCTGGCCGAGTACAAAGGTGAGCACCACCCCCTTGGCCTTCTTGCACCCGAGTGGCCTAAACGACCTCATGCCTTTCTCAGCTTAAGTGCACCAGCCTCTAATTGGAGCATTACCTCATTCAGAATCCAGACCGAATGCTGGAGGTGGGACGATTCATGGGGCCGAAGAGACCTATTTGCACGTCTGGGGTTTCCTCCTGATAGATGGAAACTTCTCTCTCCTGTCCTTTCCTTCTTCCTGTACCCCCTCTGTCTTCTCTGTTGGGTGCGTTCGGAAGCCTGTGATAAAAAGTGGGATGCGGCGCACTGTGCGACCCTAACCTGAGGACCTGGTGGTGGAAAGCACGGGGAGGGGAGCGTGGGGCTGTGCGGCGAGCCGGGCGGAGCTGGGACGCCGCGCTTTCCGGCGGAGGGCGCAGGTGGCCTCACACGTTGGCCACAAAGCTGGTTCTCGTTAAGTGAGTCACTGGCGAGGGAGATGTGAGCTCATTCGAGTGGATGCGTGTCAGAGTCACTCTGGAAAAACAGCCGACATCGGCAGGGTGCTGATAATGTGCAGAGCTCGTTCTCAGCCCCGTGCGCGTGATGAACTCATCAAGCCCTCACAACAGCCCTGCGAGGTGGCAGTGGTGTCCCTCAGAAGCCCAGCCAGCACGTCCCCGAAGCCTTTTCTTCTCGCTCCCCAGGGGGCTTAGCGGTGTGACTTCGTTCAAGCCCAGATGCCCTCGGACGGCACCACGCCAGGAAATCCGTGTTTATCAGCCACCGCACACATTTCTCTAGGCCACAGCTTCGGGGCTGGGTTTGGATTTTTTAATGCCTTTGTGGGCTCTCTTTCTAGCCCCTAATCTCGTGCTCCCACCGCTGCTTACTTGACATCATCCGTCTGCCGGGTGACCTTCCTCGTCATTGGATGGACCCACCTGTATTTAGCGGTCTCTTTGGTGAGCCTGAAGGGTTCGTAGGCCACACGGATGAACTTGATGTAGTCTTTGGCCGGAAGGGATGGGGCTGGGCCAAGGGTCTGGTCTGTGTTCAGCAGATCTGATGCTCCCTTCTGAGGGTGATGCCCACTTGGAACCAAAGTCCTCCACTTCCACAAGGGTAGATGTGCTGGCTTCACTCACGTGGATTTCATTTCCAGGTTTTTCAGAGTAGTGAGAGATAGGGAGTCTGCTCAGTTCTGGAAAGAGGAATAAGAATCAGGAGACCTGCTGAGCCTAGATTAATCTCCTCAAGTGTGACTGTGTCTGTATAAAGTAAGGACAGTGATACTTACTGACATTTTGAGGTTCTTCAATGACAGAATTAGTAGTGAATGTGTTTCAAAAAGTAAAAATTCCAAAGTTCTTCAGTCCCTGATGCAATTTTTTCCTGTCTTGGAGGCATTAATTGTGCTGTCATGACTAAGCAGTAAAAACTATAGTTACACATGATGAACCACGGATACATAGACTGTTCATCCTTCCATATATGCTCTAAATTCCACCCCTTCATTTTTTTAAGTTTATTTCTTTTTGAGAGAGAGAGAGAGCACAAATGGGGCAGAGAGAGAAATGGAGACAGAGAATCCCAAGCAGGCTCTGTGTTAATAGCACCGAGCCTGACCTGGGGCTCAATGTCACAAACTCCAAGATCAACCTGAGCTGATATCAAGAGTTGGATGCTTCACCGACTGAGCCACCCAGGTGCCCCATCCCTTCCTTTTCTTTTTTTTTTTTTTGAGTTTGTTTATTCATTTTTAGGAGAGACAGAAAATGTGTGGAGGAAGGGCAGAGAGAGGGGGAGAATCTCAAGCAGGCTCCACACTGTTAGCATGGAGCTGGACTCAGGGCTCGAACTCACAAAACCGTGAGATCATGACCTGAGTCGAAATCGAGAGTCAACCAACTGAGCCACCCAGGCGCCCCTAAATTCCACCCCTCTGTCTTTCCAGGACTCCCCTCCATCAGTCACTGACTCTGCCAGGGATGACCCAAGAAGATAAGTGACCCCGGAGGGTATCCCAAACATATCTGAGGATTTAGATTCTCAAGAAAAGGATGCAGGTGTTGGGAACTTCGCACACAACAGGGTTAGAGGAGGGGTTTCTGAGGAGAACTGAATCAATGGCCAGCTGAGTTCAAAGGACCCCCGGTTTGCAAAGAGGAAATACATGCCGTGCATTACCTACATGTGACCTCATGAGGTGGGGGGCTCCACTGATCTCACAGAGGCTGGCTGTCCTCTACAACAACTGCAGTCGGGCTGAGCTGGCCCTTTATTTTCTGTGTGGCTGAGAGAGAATGGGCTCTATTCATCCCTGGAGAGCCTTGGAAACCCAAAACTGGGAGGCCTCCACCCTGTGCCGTAGTAGACAGGGCCCCGTTGGCCGACCTGTCCAGCACCGGAGGGAAGTCCAATGGCATCTGGTTCTGACATCTTCTTCCTTCGTCCTCCTGGCCAGTACGAGGAGCCTGTCCCAATCCCTCAAAAAGGGAAGATAATCTAGGAAATACAAATGAAATTGCCACAGCAGCCAACCGCTCTAACCACTCAGGAGAGGAAGTGAGAAAAGTGCTGTATGCTACTCAAACTTGACTCTGGATCTGGAAAACACAAAGGAGGAACTAGTTCATGGTAGAAGTGAAAATAGGAGGAAAAGGAAATCGTGACCGACAAGGTAGGACATGTGGAGAGGCGCTCTAGGCGATCTGTTTCTGTCTGAATGGCGGACGCTCCAGAAGAAGAAGGAACACATGGAAATAAAACCAGAATCCACGAATTGCTAGAAGGAGAAGTCTGTGACATGGAGAAAACTGAAGTTTTTGTATAGAATGAAGGAGCTCACAGAGGGCCGGAGGGATTAGTGAAGGAGGTGGTACACAATTTGAGATTTCCTGTTAAAATTTCTAAATCTGAGGAGGGACAGAATATTTTTTATGAAAGTCTTCACAGGGAGTACAGGTTACATACAAAAGAAAGAGAATCCAGTCCACACTGGCCTGCCCTTCTCTCCAATGAAAGCAAACAATCATGCAGCAGTGTTTCAGGTTGCCCAGTGGAAAGGACCGGCAACTGTAGGATCCTTTACGTTCGAGGACAACAGAAAGACATTGTGCACATTTAAGCATACGGAAAGCATAACACAACACCATGCACCCTTTCCAAGAAAATTATTTTACCCTATCTATCTACCTATCTATCTATCTATCTGTCATCATTTTGAGAGAGAGTGAAGGAAGGTCAGAGGGAGAGACAGAACCTCAAGCAGGCTTTGTGCTATGCAGGGCTTGATCCCACGACCCTGGGATCATGACCTGAGCTGATATCAAGAGTCAATGGACTGAGCCACCCAGGCGCCCCAAGAAAATTATTTTAGAAAGTATTCTCACTGAACTGGGACTAAATCAGAACACATATAACTATATAGTTGGAGCTACAGAATAGGAAGAAGAGGGTTGAACAGAATCCTTGAAATGCAGGGATAAACCTAAACAGAGGATATTAAAGTGATTGTGGCCGGTAATTTAATGGTGAAGAGAAATCTTTTGGAAAAAAGTATGTATAGCTGCTTTACTAGTTAGTTCTGCATAAAGAGTCACTACAAAGCGGTGGCTTGAAATGACACCCTTTTAGTATCTAACACTTCCGTTGGTCCAGGCACGTTTTAGTGGATGGGAATCAAGGTATTGGCCGGACTCAGTTCTCACTGGAAGCTTGAATAGGAAAGAGTCAACCTCCCCATTCCCTCAGGTTGTTGGCAGAATTCGTATCCTTGTGGCTGTAGAATTCATGACAGCTTGCTCCCTGAAAGCCAGCAATGAAAGGGAGATGACAGCTTGTGCTGTTCCATGCCTCTAACTTCAGGAGAGGAGGCCTGCACCCTCCCTTAAAAAACAACAACAACAAACAAACCCTGACTAGGTCAGGCCCACCTAGGATCAACACAAAGTTTAAGGACCTTAACTGCATCTTCAAAATCTCTTAAGTTTTGTCAGATGCTATCGGTTTGAAGCTCACATACAACGGAAGGGTATGACTCATTGGGGGTCACCTTAGAGTATGTCCATTATACCCTTTCTTAAAGAAAAATTTAAATGACCACATTCAAGTTTCATATCATTTTAACTAAACCCATGAATTGAAGGGGATGGGGATGGGAGGGACTGGAAGGCATACATATGTGTTAAAGGTCTCATCCCAGTGGGCAGATAAAGTGATCATCTAATTTGGGTATATTTGTGGAGACCTTTAGGGTTGAATTTAAGTGAGACTCCTGAAGTCAAAGCCTAGCAGCATTAATGGTAGGACTTCTTTTGTTAATTTTTTTAATGTTTATTTATTTTTGAGAGAGAGCGTGAGCAGGGAAGGGGCAGAGAGAGAGGGAGACCCAGAATCCAAAGCAGGCTCCAGGCTCCAAGCTGTAAGCACAGAGCCCGTTGCGGGGCTCAAACCCACAAGCCATGAGCTCATGACCTGAGCTGAAGTCAAATGCTTAACCGACTGAGCCACCCAAGAGCCCCTAAATGGTAGAACTTCTAAAGTAATAGTTGGGGGGCAGGGTGATAGAAGGAACTAAAATAGAGGTAGAAGGGGCAAAGTCCTACCCTCCGATCCAGAGGAAAAGTGAGTCACAGGATCCTGTGCCTTTCTCTCTTTGGGGGATGGACATCTGTCCCTCTTCAGAAGCATTTCTTCAAATGTAGCATAAATTCAGAGAACTACCAGATGGGTGAATAGCGAGTGCTAATTAGTACTTGCCTCTGGAGTTAGAACTTAGGTGGGGGGGTGTTGGGAGAGGGTTGGGACTTTAACTTCCTACTTCACACATACATTTTTTTCAAGTGGTGATTTTTTTACTGTTTTATGTTAAAATCCAACTTAAATAAATTACTACAGCTTCCTAAAAAGAATGAGTGTAATGGAGCTCAGGCAAGTATAGCTGAAGAACATTTTGGTCAAGGAAAGCAGTGAGGGGGACCTTCTGCCAGATGTTTTATTTTCATTTATTTATTATGCCTACATTCACACGTTA